TTCATGGAGTACAGATCAATTAAATAATTTAATTAATAATACAGCTGTCTCAGTTCATTTGACAACAGACCTTTGGATAGCTAAAAGTAATTACAGGTATATTGGAGTGATGGCCACCTGGCTTGTCCCTGATTTTACATTTTATGAAGTTTTATTAACTTGTAATGTTCTTGACCATTCACATACTGGTAAATTATTAGTGATGAGTTGTATCGTGTTATTCAACAGTGGCATCTTACTAGTAAAGTTTTTATTATTGTCACAGACAATGGGGCAAATATGATAAAAGTCATCCGTCTTCTTAAAGATTCTTTGTCTTTGATTGAAAGACAACCTTGTGCAGCCCACACTTTACAATTATTCGTGCATGAAGGTCTAAAACAATGCAAACATATACATAGACAAATTAAAAGTTTACAGTTGTTTTTTAAATTATCAAAACAAGCACAAAGATTAAGAGAGGTGTAGCATGATAATTATCATACTGAACATAATGAAAACATTGAAATGCCAATAAGTTCTTTAGATGTCTTGCTTAATACCAAAACCAGATGGAATTCTATCTTCATAGCATGGAAACGGCTTCTTGAATTACACAATTCTATATGCTTGGTTTCAGCATTATTGTTAATAAAACAGGATCATGCATCTCAAAAAGAAGAAGAAAAGTTAGACAAATTGTGTCTAACATCTGAAGAAAAATCATAAATATCTTAACAAATTAGATAATTGGGTTTTTATATTCTTGTGACTATAAAATCCTAGTTCTCTAATTTTAAAAAAAAAGTTTTTTATTGCTTATTATATGGCTTTGTATTTATAAATTATCTAGCATGTTTTGATACACTATCGTCATTCTAATAAACTTTGATCCAGAAATTTGGGATAAGCACAGATGCTAAAATTCAATTGTCATATGCCATGATCTATTAAAAAAATCAATTTTTCATATTTATTAAACATGACAATTAAGGATTACCTATCTTTGGCATCGTTAATCTTATCACTAGACAAGAATATTTTTTTGAACAGTTTTTAGTTATATAAAAGCTGTCTGAAATTGTAAAGTCAGCAACACTAATTTAGGATGTTTTCAAGTTGTATTCATATATGGGCCATCTTTCATTTTTGCTATGAATGTTGATTACTCTTAGTAAATTTAGAAATAACACTAATACATAGTTTAAAATTTAATTCAATTCCAATTATTTACTTTTTAAATTTTTTTTATTTTATATACAGGTTTGTTAAAGAAATAATCCAACTATTAGAACTATTTGAAGCTTTAACATGACGATTATCAGGTGCCAAATATCCAACACTTAATCTAATACATCCATGTATATATACATTAAAGCAAATGTTTGCCCCAAAAATTGATCAAAATGAAACCGTTAATAGTTATATAGATCTTATCTATGGCCCTTTAATACAAGATAATATATTAGAGAATGCTAAAGATAATGATGATTCAAGTTCCACAAGTGATGATAATGATATTCTGACTGCTGGAAATCAACGACACTTAAAACGTGCCTACCAACAATTTAAGCAACAAATAAAATGTACACAAAGACAAGATTGAGATAAAGATTGAAATTTTTAAGTTGACTAATCAGTCAACTATAGTCTTTTCCTAGACATAGAAATGGGTTTCATGTGTGCGCATGATTTCATTTTATGCGCATTTTATCCTATCAAGATCTCTCTCCTCTTGATCATTTTTTTCTTTTTTTTTGTCTTTTTTTTATTATGCAATATCATGCACATTAATACGCATGTTATTATAAAATACATATTTTTCTCATCAATACCTAGACAGCACTTATATAGTATTTTAGTTTACAGTTAACTTATCTATTTTATTCTTAGGTTAGGGTTGGGGTCGAGGTCAAGGTCGAAATAATAATAGAACTAAAAAAAATGAAAATGTAAATATAGATGTTGTGATTCGAGAATCGGCGATTCGGTTGCTACTCTAATCCAATTCTTGCGTAACCTATGGCGGCTAAGTCGAAATAGGCGTGTTAGATTTGGCTGGGTGGTTTTATCCGTAGGTAAGTACTTGTCTTCTCTTCTCTTTGTGTCTTTCCTTCAACCTATTCTTATATTAACCCTTGTCTTCTCTTCTCTGCTCTTGTATGACTTAACCTGGGCTTACAATACGTCGAATCGGAGTTGGATCCTTCTCTTGCATTAACGGCTTGGTCACATGACTTGCGGCGAATGTCCAAAGGTGGTTGCAGTGGTTTATGAACAAACGATTATGTTAGGGATGGGATTAACGATAGTTTATTAGTTTGTATAGGGTAACACTTATACTTTTATTAGGGATCGGATATTTAGTGTTATTAGGGGATTAATTGGTATATGGGACGATTCTCCTCTTTTTTCCCCAAGGCAAAAATGCCCTTTATTTATAATAAACGTTTTGTTTACATTGGTCATTAATTTCTAACATAAATCTAATATCCGTTACATCCTAATTATATTTAAGAAAAGGCCAATATCTCATTTATCTTATAAGTAAAAGAAATAGCATAAATAACAGAAGTGACAGAAGTAAGAAAAGTAACAGAAGTAACATTTCTGTTACTTTTCGCATGACCTTGGATCGGGTAAGGATCAGTAAGGATCGTTGCTTCGATTCGGGCACCTGTGATCCCAAAAATCGGGCTTACAATGTTAATCAAATTGAATGTTTACCACTAGCAAGCATAGAAAATCTTATCCAAAGGGTCCGTGCGGCTATATATCTTTCTTTGGATAAACTATGAGAAATATCAAACAAAATACCTTTAATTGTGACAATTTTAGATCCTCGAATAAAAAATTTCTCTTTTGCAAATAGTTTTGACCGTGTACAACAACAAACACAAGCTGAATCTCTTTTAAGAAACTTATATACTCAACTTAAACAAAATTCAGCAATTGGCAAAAATGTTGAAGAGCATGTAACAAATTTAAATAATATTAGTACTGAGGATATATTTGCAAAAATATGAGGTAATGATCAAATACAAGATGATGAAGTTACCTATTATCTATGCTATCTTGATGAACCAAAAAATATTGATTCTTTGATTTGGTGAAAAGGACATCAGGTAAGTTATCCCTTGTTATCACAATTAGCATGTAAGTATCTTTCGATACCTGCTACATCTGTTCCTAGTGA